TGAGTCATGCCCTAGGGGAGGCTTTAAAATACCGAATTTCCTGACATGGATGAGGGAATTTTCCGTAAACAGCATGTGATCATGCCGGCTAGGACGTATTGCCTCCGTATTGCCCCTTTTTACAGCTAGCTAGGCTCATTTTTAGGTTCCATGGCCTGAAATGACGAAAAATTCATGCCCTAAATGTAAAAAGTCCAAAAACGTCCTCGAAATTTTAGTTTCCAAGCCGTTCTAAACGGCATGGTGTAAACTATTTGATTTTCCAATCGAACTTTCAGTTTCCCCATGTAAATGGTTTGCATCTCAGATATTCATTTTTGCAGAAAAAGTAAACTTCAGCAACTAGATAGGGGTTATTTTCCTGTATTGTTTCTTAGAGATATTTAGTAATCCATTGTGGATCAAATAACAAAAGCCCAAATTTCCACGAGAAACCAAAAACGTGAAGGGTTTTGGTAGCTGTTGTCAAGGGACGCCAAACTACAAACGGCCTATTTGTTTGTATTACATCAGTAAACAAAGTTCAGGTAACGGACGCACAAACTTGAATATGGACAGAACCTGTTTTCTTCTCTTCTTCTCATTTTTTCAGATTCCTTTCACTGGGTGCAGCATGAACCCTGCGCGTTCATTTGGACCTGCCCTGGTTATGAACTCATGGAATCACCATTGGGTACGTTACACGGGCACTCGCATTTTTGCCTTTATTTTTTGGTTTCTTGACTTGTTGATTTTTTTTGCACCTGTTTGTCATCTGGCATTTCACGCATATAAAATTGCAAAGAAAATAGGTTTACAGCTTGCCCTTCGGTTAAACTGTAGCTAGCATGCATGTACTAGCCCGAGAGTGATTTTTTATAGCTAGCCCGGAAAAAAACGTTTTCGAGCAGTGTTTTATAGTCAATTTACAGAATGTATTATCCTTTATTAATTTATACAACTACATGACAAATTTCTGCAATTTGATTGGCTTAGAGCAGTGGTATTTCAGCTTAATTTGAAATACCTACATGTGAAAATTACAAACCTTTAGTGTGTAGTAGTATAAACAAATAATAGCAAGATTTGTACGTTATATTTAGCGTAAATACCACTCGTGACATTTCAAAATTGTTCCAAATTTCACTCGCCTAACGGCTCGTGAAATTACGTATAACAATTTTGAACTATCACTCGTGGTATTTATGCCAAATATCACTACAAATCATGCTATTACCTATACTAATTACATCAGCAGTGATAATAATTGTAATTATTTCAGTTCGCCAGATCAAGTTGAAAAAAGACTTTCGATCCAGATGAATTTATAAGGAATTTCAACAGTTTGTCTAAAAAAATTCTGTAAATTATGTGAATTTCGCCAAAAAATTTGACTTGCTTGTTGGGCCATTTAAGAATATTTCGCTAGCCCGATCGCAAAATCCACTAGAGCCGGGATATCGGACACAACTTTCTTTGCACACTGTAAGATTTCGAATGGTTTTGATTTTCCCGGAAAACACTCTTATATTCATCAGTCTACAGGCCCGAGTTACATTGTCGCACGGATCTTTCTTTTCTTTTAAAGGTTTACTGGGTTGGCCCCATATCAGGTGGACTGATGGCGGCTTTGCTGTACGAGTACGTATTCTCTTCAAGTAAAGTAACAATCTCTCCAGCTTAATCTCAACTGCGTTACTTTTGAACAACATGGACGAGGAAATATTGAAAAAAGAAAACATCGTTCTTAAAAGATGGTTCGAAGTTCGACGTCATTTCTTGTCTATCTACAGTTTGTGATACCTGGACAAGAGCACAAGTCACGCTTTGCAAAACAACACATCAACAGAGCGTTGCTGGTCCTTTCACGGTACCCCCCTCCTCCATTTTTCTGTAAGGACGGCCATCGGGTACATGAGAGACAGTTTGCGCTTCCTTTAACTCTCTTTTAACCTACAGGCGTGACCTTTTTAGCTGAATACAAAAGCTTGAACTTTTGTAGACACTCCGAGAGTCTCTATTCAGAACACAAAAATACAACATCTTCATGCGGGTTCTTAAAAAGCGATAAAATACTCTAGAATACCCTCCTTTTCTAGACAGCGTTTTTGGTCCTTTCTGGATACCTTTTGGTGTAAAAGGTAAAGATGGGCGGAATTCTTTGTAAATGAATGGTAGTTTTCTACAGTAAAGAGCTGCTGACAGCAACCAAAGACCTTGCATACAATCAGCAGTCTTGCACAAGCTAATACTTATAATATTTATACTTATTTTAAGATTTACTGTAGCTCTGCCATTGATTTTCCCATGTGTAATTATGATAATATTTTGTTCTAATTATCTAACTGAGGGAGCCCATTCCTTATAAGCCCGGTGGCTTCTCTTGGGCTTC